GCAGACCTCCGACTGTGAAGCCGTTTGAAGCCAGCCCGCCTCCAAAATTTGCTGCGCGGATGGCGCAGAGGGACTGCAAGAGCAGAGCTGGTACTTGACGGTCTGCACCCTGGTGGTGTCGAAGATGCGCATGAGCCGCACAACGGGATCTGGACTAGGACAAACGCGCCCGCGGTGCCCGAGCTGGTACACCAACCCAATTTCGCAAAGGGTGGTGGAGTCCCAAAGGACGCCCGTCCATTCCTGCGGGTATTGTTAGCAACGTATTTCAAGAATGAGTGACTCAGTCCACTCACCTTCAAGATATGCAAGGGCCTGTGTCTGTGGTCGACAACGCAACAAGAATAACACAAGACTTCGCTGCAAGAGATACAGCAAAAGAAACGACCGTCCGATAAGTCGAGCTTCTTCTTACAATGACCACAATGGGCTGCGGGGCCTGGAGCGGTATCCAGGAAAGACATCTCCTCGACGAACAGTCGCCTGGCGGTACGCCAGATTTCGAGCGGGTGTGGACGAGAATGAACCATGTCTTGCGGGGTTCTTGCCGGGGTTCAAGGGTGTGCGACAAGCGAGGCGTCGAAACATATTGAGAAATAAACTTATAAGTTACAGGGTGTGGCGAGAGAGAAGAGTGGCTGTGCATTATTAGGCCTTCAGTTGAGCGCTAATTTGGGCGTCAAACAACAATTGGCGCTTAAATTCACGAAATGAGTAGATACGTAGGGGAAGAGGGAGGAACAAAGATGTGCTACAGTTTCGCGCCCATTCGCCGCCACACAACCGAATCGTGCAAGCAACCGCGGCGGCTTCCCGCAGTCATCTCCTTCCCGAAAACCAGAGGACCACTCGACGCCCATGCCCTCTCGACTGCTTCGCCATCGGTGAGACCTATGCACGTCACGAAATTGAACTGGCACCCATTGTCGTAGCTTGAAAACGAGATTAAGAACGGGCAACAAAAGTCGTAGCTTAAGAGGGAAGACCTATAATACCTTGACCGAGTGTTAGTGGGAGCAATGTGGCCAAGATAAAATGGCATACAACTCTGGAAAAGCGCCCGCATGGGTCCCAAAATCTTTCTGTCCGTCGAAAACTCGAAAGAAGCTTCATATCTGGTGCAATTGATTAGGATAGGCATGCCAATATAATCTGTGGCCCCCGTACCTTTCTCCGTACTGCAAATCGGCGTTGGGTCTCCGGAGAAACAGCGAGCGCACTGCCCAAAACTAGGATCAAAACCAGCAGTAGCGAACGGTAAATGAACATACAGTTGTTTTGGGCGATAGTATGGTCAGAATCAGCTACAATCAGGTCGGAGTCCTGTTGCTTCAGCATTGCTATGTAGATGCAGAGAGAGCGACTATGTATACGAGAGGAAGCGCAGAGACTACAATTTAAATAAAAATGTTTGCTTACACGAGATTGCCAAGGAAAATCCTGACGAACTAGCACGGCCTCAGCCAGCGTCCAGCTGAGCACGTCAGGAACTAGGGTTCCGGAATGCCGAGAGCGTTTGTGATATATATCTTCCAGAACTTTTGCTGATTTTGAGCGCGTGAGATTGCCAAGAAGGGTTTCTACGCATTTGCGTGGCCCCAGCCAGGCTGAAAATACCGCCGAGGAGGGGTTCGGGAGGCCACCCGATATCACTGCGATAAAGTACAGTTACCCTAACAAAATCACTGATGCGTAGTAGGTACGTACCTTGCCAACACCGCTCCAGGCTCTTTGCAACTCCCCACGCGTTGGCAACTCCCACGCCGGTCCGACTCATCTCAATCAAAAGCATCACCACATCCGCATCGGACTCCGGACCCTGGTGCTCGGAGGTGGCTAAGGCCAGGCAATAGGTTTAGAGTTTCATTGCAACTCCCCACACATTGGCAAATCTCACACTGGTCCGACTCTTCTCATCAAAAGCAGCACCACATCAGCATCGTATTCCGGACCCTGGTGCTCGGAGGTGGCTAAGGCCAGCCCACAGAGAGAGAGAGCTCGTTTAGTGGTAACTCCAAATGTATTTTAGTCGACGAGAAACGGATTGAGTTCACACCTGAAAAAATGTCTGTCGGCTCGTTCACCCTTCCGCCTTGTGGCTCGCCCATCTCTTGGAACAGTGACTTCCGACATATACTCGCGGGGGAGCTCGATTTGGCGTGGCACCGCGAAAAGACGGAACCTTACTATAGGGGCGAGACTTGGATTCGACCTTCGTTTTTGGATCACGCCGAAGAATCCGAGGCGTCCACAGATGTGGAAGAGGAGTCCGATTCTGAGACCCAGGCTGGCGACTCCGACTCTGAAACCGACGGTTATGTTGAAGGCGACGCGCCGGTCCATGCTCAACCTCGTCCTCGATGGTCATCGAACTTCTACGAGGATTGCAGCCCCTTCGGCTTTCGCCATCCTCGCACCCCATCACCTCCACCACCCCAAACCGAGCCCTTGACACATGTGTATACGCGGTCGGAGCTAGAATACCACGGCTTTGAATCGTCCTTGAACTGGGCAGGGTGCGTATGCGCTCACCTTCAATAACTTTGACTTTTCTAATTTCGGTCTCAGGCCCACCCCGCTTGCAGACAGAAAAGGCCGAATCATTGGCGTTTTGGTAGACTCCCCCTGCGAGAAAAGCGACTGGAACAACGTGATCGCCGCCGCGTCGGCAGCAATTAACACAGCAACGCCCCACATTGATTACGCAGCTCTCCCACGCCATGGGAACACCCCAAACTCCCTTCGCTGCGGGATCGAGTACTACGGCTGGGGTCCCACCAGCATGGTACGTTCCATCGCCTAAACACGAGAACATACTGACCTAAAATGAAAAAAAAATATTAGCATGCCCAAAACCTCAAGCACGAGAGCACGGACAATCTCATCGAGCTTTCGCTTCTGCGTCAGACCGGCGCATTCCGTGACATTTCTGCTTGGCAAAACAGTAAGTTGTCGTTGCTCACAATTTAGATCCTATAACTTACATTACCAGCCGTCCATCAGCGATTCGCCCCCCGGTTACTTGCACACGTGCGTCACACGAAGGATGTGCTCATGGTGAACGACCCAAATTTGCGCAATAATTGCACCGGCGGCGCCTTCCCAGCCGTCGAATTCTTCCTCGGCAACGATGAATCTCCACCTACCTTGCATGATCTTGACATGATGTGGTCCTGGCGGGCTCTCACTGCCCTCGGCGACTACAACGCGCGTTGGGGAGGAGAGCTGATTTTGTGGGATGAAAAGAAAGTTCTTAAGTTTCCTCCTGGAGCGACATTCCTCTTTCCTGGGACGTTAATCCGTTACTCGTTTACTCAGGTGCGACTTTCCTTTTCCTTGAGGTTAAACCGTTGCTCATTTTTTACCCAGGTGCGTAGCAGGGAGACGCAGTACGCGTTTGGCCAGTACGCGCATGTGGGTCTCTTCCGTTACGTCGAGAACGGCTTCATGTCGGAGGCCAATTTTGAGGCGACGGCTTGGAAATTGCAGCGTGAGGCTCGCGAGAGGATGAGGGACGCTCGTATGGTTAAAGCACTTGGGATGTATAGCCATTTGAGCGAGATCTACCAGTAGAATAGCCGCCTAGAATAGCCGCCTGTGCTGGAAAAGGCAATGACATTAGGTCATTGAACCCCAGAACTAACACTGCCAAACAATTTTTCCTTTGCTCGTCTCGTCCTTGGGTTTCTCTCCTCGTCTTGAAGTTTCCGGGCTGGACCCCGCTGGCGGGGCCAATCGGGGATTTGATGGTATCGCAGGCTGCAAGCGAGCCGTATAAGTACCCCCTGCAATTCTCGTTTGACGCACCGCTCTCTTCACACTTGTACTGCGACTAAGTACCAACACTTCACAACTCTCCGTTAATGGCCTCTTCCCCAGGCTCCGCTAACAATCCCGTCCTGGTGAACTCTAGTATGTCCACACCTTACTCCCTCCCATTTTCGCTAATACCTGTTGTCCAGGTCCACCACGTCCTCAGACCCGCTCACTCTCGCGACTTCAAAATCCTGGTACGTCTTTAGGCTCCTTCAAAAATCTCATCTGCCTTATACTCTCTTGTAGCTTCACCTCCCCCACGCAAGCTCCGTATCTTCGGCAGTCCGCCTTCGACCATCAGGCAGGACCTCCGTCCCAGACGATTGCAAAACCGCTCCGCTATGAACCAGCCTTACCCACCCGGTCTTTTGGGTGATGTCACTCGTCGCCAGGCCCTTCAACGTCGGGCACGCCTTGAAGCCAGAGACCTCGAGGACAGTGTGGCATCCAGAGCGATGGCCATCCCTTCTGTTGTGATCACTACCTCCTCTGCGAGAACCCGCATCCATGCCCCGCGCCCTCCCGACCCAGGCTGGCGCGTGGAGAGGGACGACCCTTTGACAGTCGAAGCCGTGCTCCTCACTCAACTCTCTCCGCCCGCGATGACAACCGATCATGAACACCAGACCTGCGGTATCTGCCTGCAAATCAAGTCTCACCCTGTTTCGTACGTGTTCTCTTCCTCGCAATTTAAGCACATTTTTTTTCATTTTTGGCAGGTATCGCTGTGGTCACAGTCACTGCTACCGGTGCATTAGAATCTGGCTCGAGGACAAGTGGACCTGCCCCAGCTGCCGTGCGACCATGCACATGGCACCGTATCGTCACTACGGAGAGGAGGCCGGAATTCGCTACGACCACCCGAATTTCATCGATCTCAGTGAGGTAGATTACAATTGGGATGGCCTTGTCTTTCCCAAGCCGCCTCGGGCTCCTCTAGAATTACAGAATTACCTTTTGTGATTGCGCATTCCAAAGCTGAATGATATTTGATTCCCCCCCGAGCGACCTGTTTGAATTGAAAACCCACCAAAGATGCGGTAGTCTTACCCTGGCTACGGCCACCATTTGTTTTACTGTACATTTAATTCAAAGTAATATTATAACTTACCATTAACTCAGACTAAGCAACGGCTAAGCGAAGGAGTCAACGTCCTCGCGATCTTTGTTTCCTTTTTGCTTGCGCCTCAATAGCACAATGGTAGTGCATCTCGGCTCGTTAGCTTGAACTGTCTGAGAAAATGCCCGTTCGATTCGGCCTTGAGGCTTTCCCGAATCTCGCCTTTTTTTGAAGTATTTCATACAAAATGAAAAATGACGGCTTTCATTCAAAAAATCTATGTCTACTGTACATTGAGCGGATTCTCTGGAAAGCGTGGGAGTACGTAGAAAAAGACAGCAAGCGAGAGCAACTGGAAAGCGGACCACAATTAAATCGATCCATCGAAACTGAAGTTATTACAAATTGGGAACAATGGGGGCGGAGGGCTATGCATTTGCAAGTCGTGGGTCGATGAGCGTTGATAGTTCCGAAAGCTGGGTCGGCTTTCACGAATGCATCGCAGCCTGATGTACTCGTCCAGTGAGAGAGTGGATTTTCTGGAATCGACGCGTGTGAGGCCCCTGTTAACTGATTGGGAGTGGACGCACTGCTGGCGACGAGCTCGTTCCTTGTGTGTCAAGAGCAGCCGATGCCTGGAGGGAAAACAGTTGAGAAAGAAATGGAATGGCCGTCCACCAATTAAATAACCCACTGCTCGCGATATTTCGTGCGCGACGCCCGTGCTCGCTCGGTCAGCTCCTGCTGGATTTGAAGTGGCAAGGCTTTGATCGCCGCACGCCGTCTAGTATCATGGTGAACGAAAGATGTATAAAGATAACGGCGCAGGCTTACCTTGCCATACGCTCCCGCGCGCGACGCCGTTTGAGCTCAAGCTTAGCTAGTCTAAGGTAGCCATCAGTCAATATGATCAAAATGTCGTGACGCCACATACTCGTCGTCGCGGTCGATGTGCTCATCAAGCTTAGGACCCCGCATTTGGCGGAGGAGTGAGAGGCAGTGGGTGAGAGAGAGAAATACGCGTTTAGACTCGAGAGGGAGAGGTTATGTTCAGGGACTGACAGCATGCACGTTTCGTGGGGAGTTCGCCGTGACTACGACGTCAACAAAACCCTACAAAACCTCAATTGTGGTATGTATGGGACGGCAGCGTCCACTACACGTAGTGGATGTAGGAAAAAAAACAACAAATCAATCCTGGTCTTCCACACTCTCGGGCACCGGCGTGACGTGGCGAAACAAGAACTCTAGGTCGTCGTCTGACAGGTCGTGGCTTTTGTTAGGGGTGTTGTTCTTAATGAACTGGTTGTATGCGGCGACGGCCTGTGGGTCGTTGTCATCGACCGAAACCCAGAACATGAATTCAGAGACATATTCTCTGAAAGCCGCAAATGTTTTCCTGCCGCAATTATTTAAAAGCATCAGTGACTGCCTTTCAAGTGGTCTGGGGTGAAGACTCACATAGCGCGAAGCTCCTCCGAACTGAAGGCTTTCCAATCGGTGGACGTCGACGTTTCTGGGGCACCTGAGCGCCTCCGCAATTTGCGCATACGAAGTCGGGCCTTCTCTTTTTCGATCTCTTGGTTTCTATCCAATAAAGGTAAGTAGGAGACACATTGGAAGCAAGAAAGAAACCGTACTTGGCACGGTAGCGAGCTTGCGCTCCCGCGTGGCTACTACTCGCGGTCCCGGAGCCGGGGGCGAGGGTGGCAGTGGCAGACGCAGCGAGTGGAGGCTGGGAGGACAACGTAGAGGAATACTGCGAAGGGAGCTGAAAGTTGAAGGTGAATTGGTCCAGATTCATGATGGGTGGTCGAGAGGAAAAGAGGAGGGTTTCCGAATTGGGACACCAGATTAAGTGTTCCCATTTTGTATTTGTTGAAGAAATTTGCGCCGCGACTATCTGAAGGAAAGGAATATTCAAAGCGTTCGCTACATAATTTGATGCCATGAAAACCCACAAGATATTCCTCTGTGATCGTGGTTTCCGCGACAAGAACAGCGTGGTTCGTCCAAGTATTGCCCAAAATGGGACTGAAACGGAGTTGACAATAAATTTTGAGCCGCTGTGTGCGGGTGGTGCGCCCCGCACAATCGTTTTAGAGGTGAGGGGATCGAACCGTTTTGTTAGATAAAATTTTGTAGGGGATTATGGTTGGGGAGAAAATGAAGGTTCATTGAACCGACCAAAGCAGCCTTGAATGCAGTAGGGCATCGCACTCGGATTGGGGTGAATCCAAGTCAGGTTCACTAAATCTTTCAAATCGTCAATATGAAGCGTAAGTCACTCTGAGAACATACTTCAATAGTTTAAACACTTCGATTTGAACCCGCACGGAGTACCGCTGCATTTCTTTCTGCAGGCTAGGCCATCCAAATCGGGACACGCGTTCGTGATTATGCAGAAGAGTGGATTTGAGGTCGCACAGCGGGCGTCTAGAGCGTTTTGAGTTCGCATAGAGTCTTATAAGACTCTATGTGTTACTTACCGTGAATAAATAGGGTACAGTAGAGCTCCGGAGCGCATGTCAGAGTACTGAAACACCTTTCGGATCGAATATTAACGCGACTCCAGTGGTGTGCGAAGAAGGTTTGCGTTGGAAGAGGCATAAAAAAAGGAACCTAAAGCGCCTGTGGAAAAATGGGTCGCAGAAGATTGGTGGAGTATACAGTCGAGCGTCTGAAACGGAGAAAAGACCGAATAATATGACAACAAATGCAGGAGGATATGTCAGGGTGTCAAATTCAAGTCGAGGAGATAAAACCGCATGTGTACATATAAGAGAATTGTGCTAGAAGAGGGACTGGGGCGACGGGAGGAAGGAACGACAATGAGAGGCGCAGTTGCACAGCTCGTCCAAAACGGGCCAAATAGACGCCACCTTGTATCCGCAACCCCACCTTTCCTTCCAAAATGTTCACTGCCACCCTTTTCTCCAAGTTGGTCACTGCTCGCTCATGAGGGGCTGCGATCCGCTCTTCACGAGGTGTAGCGCACATCTCTCGTGCCGCCTCGCTAAACGTACAAGTAGCGGACCCAAAAAGGCAGGTGCTCATCTTTCTTCCAATACGAATGGTCCGACAAGACAGCAAAGCCGCCAAACAGCGTGAGGCAAACCGCAGGTACTACGAAATGTGAGTAGATGGCTGCCCAATTCCGAAGCACTCATGGCATTATTTGTATCTAGGCACCCAGAGATTAAAGAGAAGAATCGAGTGAGCATTGCGGTGAGACGGTACTTTTTCTATCTTTACTCTGCTCTAGGATTAAGACTGACACGGAACTGAAAAGGGAAGCTAAGAAAAAATACCGCAGGCAATGGGATCCACCGAAGAAGAATTGTCCCGCTGTGTGCGACGAAGACAGTCTGAGTGCGCAGATGGACAAGCTCGAGTTAACGAGGAATGAGACTGCCGCGCACGCGGCACTCAGCGCGATGTACCGTCTCAGCATTCGGTGAGTAGGCCCGATTAATTATATATTTGGCCACTGACGGGTCCCAGTGGGAAGGATGCCCCCGCTTCCGCTCCGGATAATCGCAAGGAACCCAAGAGCTTGGCGGAGATCGCGGCGTACGAGTCGTCCCGGGATGACTCGAGCCAGGACAATGACACGGTCAACCAATCACTACCGCGCAAAACACTGCAGATGACCAAAAGGAACACCGAGGCAACGCTCACACTCGAGGCCCGACTTGATGCCGAAAGGGCCGCGAGAATGCGGATCGTTGTGGAATCCAGGTGCGTCAAGTCTCTCTCACGTTTGGGCTCGTAAACTCATTGTCTCAGCCGTTCCTTCGAGGCCGTTGCATCGATTCATCAGGAGAGAGGGTCTGTGGGGGTTGAAAAATGGCTACGGGGAATCCAAGCATCTAGTACTTAAAATTGAAATATTATCTATTGGTCGAGCATTACGAGAAGTCAAGAAAAATTCGAAAGAAATATGCAATTCACTCGAGGTGTACAGAATAACTAGGGGTAATTACGCGGATTGTGCCCGCAGCTTCGGCAGTGCACCAAAGCTGGATGGCTTCCAAACGCGAAGCGGCAGACTGGTAAGACGCGGTGCGCAGCCCGGTTGTGTTCAGGTAGCACTCGAGACTGAAATGATTTGTCAGTGAGTGAACGAAAAGAAACACGCGACGTACAAAGATGAATATATACCCGGGGTAATGCCTGCATAAACAACGTGCCACTTGGGTGCAGACGCTTTGGCGCTGTGGAGAGGGTTGTGAGGCGTGGTGTCGGAAGCTAAAGGTAGCGGGATGGTCGGTATGGCGCGCAGAGGAGGACCAGTAGGAGATGGTGAACGCGAGTCACGGACCCCGATCCAGGAACGTTCCCGGGCGTACGCAAATGCAGCCTGAGCTTCTTTGAGGCTACTGTATCCTTGAAATACCGCGTGCGACACGTGTTTGACCTGGATCTCCGCGCCAGTGGGCCCATACCTAGGAAAGAAGGATCCGTCAATTAAAAGTGAGGGAGAGGACCGTGGCCAACCCACCAAGAGTGGTACACATCAGGCGCACGCCCAAAGAAGACGACGAATGCACGATTCTTCTTACGGGCCGCCTTGGGCACCCAGGGCGTTTTGGCGACAACTCTGACATGTCCGTTCGGCACACCTTGTGAGAAGAAGGAGGCCTCTGACCTGAGTCATCCATATTGTTAGCAACGAGCGCATGAAGAGGTGAGTGGAAACTCGCCACTGGGTAGTGCAGCCGGATCGCGTCGGGGATTCGAATTCATAAACGCTAGTGGCGGGCCGTCTCGGTGTCTGAGGAGTTGGTTGGGGAGAATCTACCGGGCGATTGGGAGGAGGGGTACGAGGAGAACACGGGGGACGAGGGTTTCCAGTGCTAGCTGCCAAGTCGAGGGTTGTTAGGTTGGCGATAAGGGCATCAAGCTCAGAGTATGCTGGGGGGGATTCAGAGAGACGAGTCATCGAGGGGTGCTGAGGCAACGATAGGCGCGTACATGTGTATAGACCCTGAATATAAATAAAAGCGTGCCAGCTAGGAGAGATTGCGTTCGTGGACCCAGCCACAGCCCGGTCACCCTCAAGACATGAGGAATAACCGCCAAGATAAGTCCAAACGCGTGGCGAGTGATAGGTGTTCTGGGTCACGATCAATACTTCTTTGATGCGTGATGCTCGCACACGGTCTGAGGTTCGACAGTCGCGTGGCGAGTTGCTACAGTAAGATG